AATACTCTATTAAACTTTTGACTTTTTATTATTATTATTGATTTATTTATTTTTATTATAATGTCCTCTCCGTATGCGTATATATTGATGGCTTGACGCAGTAGAAATGAAAAATAGTAAAATGTAAATCATTACTGTAGCCGCTACGGCAGCGTCTAGTTCATAGAATAGCTATTGTATATATTCTAGCATTGGGCAGGGCGTCCTATATGCAGTACTTTAATTTCATTACAGCTATTATTATTAATGTTGTATCGGGAAATGATGATGGTGGCCAAATGAGACGACTCAATTTAGTCGTTGCACATCTCTGAATTACTTGATGTACTACTGTAGTGACTGATGTGATGAATAAGTGATGTCTGCACCTACTCTAAACATATTAGTTAGACCTTAATTCAATTTATTGACGGTTAATTTAATTTAATTTACAGTTAATTTAGCTGATGTTGCATACTACTAGTCTGCTACACCTCCAGATTGACCAGTCCTTTCAATATTCGCAACACTAGTCACAGCCATACATACAGTACGGTACCGTCTAATACTTATGTTACAGACTACACTAAACAGTAGGTACAGGACTGTCCTTTACGCCAATAGATTCCATTACTTAATTTATTTAGCTTATTGACTTTAGCTGACTGCAGCAGTAGAAGTATGCCTCTATGTCTCACGTTGATAAAAAGGATTCAAAAAAATAAATAAATACCACTAAAATATCAACTGTGGTAAAAGAAGTAACAACGTAACATCATACTTCCTCATAAAACACCAGTCGGAGTTCGGAGTGACACTTGACTCCCATGCAATATACAGTGTACAACGGAGTACTTGATCGGGTCCCGAAGCTCAGCCCCATCACGATTTGGATTCGAGCTGGATCAAGCTGTCAATCTTGTCGTTTTGTAGCTCTCTGCTATCTCTGCTGTACAGTGGACAGTAAACTGCGTATGCAAATCTTGGATTCTATTTTCGTAAAAGAATTCGTAAAAAATATCTTGTAGTAGTTTAAAGTAAAATAGACTTTAAATAATAGCATATACGAGTATAATACGTATCGAAAAGTAAGCAAAAACTTTCACAATTTCCGTAGACTTTAGGCAGCATATTCTGATTTGCTTCGAACTAAACTGATTCTATCCACACATGATGTGAACAAGTGACTCTGCACATTGTACATGCTAACTAAAGATTATATTCTCAGTAAATCAGAAAGCACGTACGGATGAATATGTAGTTAGATTATTTTAATACAGCGCGTGCTACAGTAATACTACAAACTAATCTACTAAATTCCGTTTCTACCGTATGTACTATGACAGAATATCATTACTCAATTTTATTGCATTATGATTATAATTACTTCAAATCCAGATCAGATCTATAGATTAAATCATGCAGATATGAAACTACCTAACAAGATCATTTAGTGTTCATGTTAGAGCACATGTGTTGGGGGGGGGGGGGTACCACTCAAAGGATAAATGCAAAATATACCATTACATTCTAATCGAGTCAGGTACGAATAGGTTGCATATCTAGCTTAACAATAATATCATATGGGAGCATAGTAAGCAGTCAAACATGCTTTCAATGATGAATGAATAAAAGCAATCTGCAGTCTATGATTTCAAGTTGATGATATCGTCAATTACATATTTATTCCATCCTATAAATGCGAATACAAGTAACCCTGCCACTGGATATTTATATTCTATTTATTTCCAAAGTGAACACTATGGTTCATGGTATACAGATATTATCTATTCCATTATATCTGAATACTATTGTACTGCACTTGCCTTTTATATTACTTTAATTATAGTCATAATATCGATCTAGAATTATCGGATTAGAGCTATATAAGTATTAACGCGTAATTGCTGCAATCATTTAAAGTCAAAACTTATAATTAATTAATTACATTTCAGATCCTAATTCAATTGCTAGGCGCCACAAAATTGTCACTCTATATTTATTAAGGTCAATTTCGAGCAACGTACAATATATCGCATTCACTGCATATGCATGTTTCCGTTTGATAAAACTCAAATTCTATAATATAAATAGGGAGACAAGGATTGGATGAGCATAATCTCATGGAATATTATTGTTAAATATTCTTATTCTATATTTTAAGCTCAACGTGTGATTTCCTCTGTATATTTCGAGATATAGGTATCCTAGAAATACGGGCAGTACGGTACTTCATATGCAGTGCGATATGCTATGTTATGTTAGTCTATTGCTACACATACAAGACTTGGTTATAGGGACGAATTATCTTATTATGATTATTGTATCTAAAATTAGAAACAGCAGTCGATCAGTAATCGATGATCATGAAACATTCTTCGATGCAACATCTGAGAAATAAGTAGAATGCAATAGGTATAATTACAAAAACTGGCCACTACGAAAGGAAATCAAAAAGACCTACAACGATCAAGTTAAGGTAATTAATTGTAATGCAAGTTTATAACAATGTGCACCTTCAAAATTTTTTGGCTTTCATTTATTCATACCAGCTAACATACAAAACGATAAGTTTGCTGCTTTCCGGACACTTACCACAATACAAACTTAGTAAAATAGAAATTAATGTAATAAATATTTGTCAATATGTTCATTGCTAAATGCTGTGTTAATGCTATGCCATAGAACATAACATCGTTCAAAATACGCATAATTAAATAATGAGGATAAAACACGATATCTTGAAATGTCTACATTAAAAGAGGTCAAAGATCCTCTTACCACGCGTTGCTTGTACAAAAGTATCCAACTAAGTATAGTCGGAATAAATGTTTCTATTCACCATAACTTAGAATCAGTTTATAATAGTATTTCCAATACGAATACTCTTTCATACTGTATGAGCAAAGTCTAGCTTCAGTCTTCTACTACGTGTGGCACTCTGTGCTATAATGGATTTTCATCAAATTCAACTCGATATATTCTATGCAATCTAAATCTTAAAGATTTTTCTAATAATATGATTGTAAGTAACAGGCAAGACGCCGTGTTACTTGCCATTGCAGTTTATCATAATTCAGCATCTACACTTAGATAATAAGCTAATATCTACAGTAATATGGCTTTAGAACTGCTGTATTTATTTATTTTCGTATAATGCAATTATAATCGGACTGCAGTAAGTTTGGCAATTATTGGATTACGAATTAGCATGTAGCGCTACCTTAAGCGCATTACTAATTTTATTGTCTTAGTGAATAAGTAGTCGATTCTTAGTGAAATGGTTAATTAAATTACTACGGTAATAACAAACTTTGTATTTTTTTACTTATCATAGCAAAGCGCCTAAAATTTATTCATTTGCCAGTAAATTTTCTGTCACTCAATATTGATGACTACATTACCCTTAACATATGTGGCATACTCTTAAATTGTCCTTTTTTATCCACATCAAGTACTGCTGTACTGCAAAAAAAAAAAAGCGTTCTATATGATTTCAGTGTTACAATTATTTTAGCCAAATCCAATAGAAATGAATAACTTTACTGTAAAAGATTTTCTGGGCGTTGTCTAAACAATGATTTAAACTTCGCTCCGTAAGGCTCGAGAAGATCTACAGTATATAGCATATCGAATAGTGATAACGTTGATCAGTCGAATGTAATCTTGTAGTCTTACATTCTTATGAATTATTCGCGTTAGATAATAATACTTTTTAGCTATAAGTTTCAGAACATGGTTGATGTGACAGTGCAATTGAGCTACTTAATCAAGCTAGTAATGCCGTAGGAATACAGTATTTAAATTACATCTTCATACTTGTAAATCTTAGCATAACTATCTCCTATCGTTATGTAATAAAGTATATAATTGTAGTACTGTATATTGGTTCTTAACCCTGTGCAGTATTATCACCGTACTGTATTTTCCTAACACATAACTACTGCTATTAGCTGAAATTGTTACAGTAATAAATACGAATTTCATATTCTTTCTTAGACCAAAGAACGTTAATATTTAATCGTAGAAGCCGAAATCATGCGAACAGATGTTAGGCATCAAATTATCTCGATAAGATAGACTTTTATACTTACTCATACCTACTCAGTGCAATTACCAAGGCATAAAATTTAATATTGCACACTAGATGATATTAATGTAATGCATGATCCGGTAATAACTACTGCATTGATGCCTACATCCTCCTCGGTGGTGCATGGCAGGAAAGATCGCTAAATCATTCATTAATCGTTATGTCGTAACAATTCACTTTGATGGTTGCTAAGCATGTTTGTATTTGACACGGACTGATACTACTTTTGACTGACGTGAATCAATGTTAAGTCGTGGAAACAGAGATCATGTCGGCCGGCCATGGTAACAGATACTGATATCGTATTGTTTCAATAAGTAAAAGTAATTATATGTTGTCCATTAAAATTATCAGAAATATTAAACTGACACTGCTCTCCAGAAGATATATAGTTTACATTATACTGTTGCATCTGGCAAATGCTCTTGCTCATATAACGTAAAATTTTCTAGAACGATTATTCCATATATATTATAATAAGTAGAATGAATTTTGGAATATTGATATGATATTCTATATGCTGTACTGTATGTGTATAATATCTGAAGTCATGTTATAGTTTATACATATGGAACGTGTTATTTTAGCTATCGGCGTTAGTATAAGTGTCAATAAAGTACTCCTTTGCTGATACAGTACTCTTCATTTGTTATGCTATTTTGAGTCCCACCACAGATGAGAATGCTAGCAACTGTATAAAGCTGCCAAATTTAGTATTCTTTGTTCTTAATATTTGTAAAGTAATATTACCGTACCAACTCCTAAAGAGTAATTAATATCAACATTGCTATCTCCGTACTGATCGAATGAAAAAGGTTCACATAGAATGATCATTACTGTGCTTATTTATATATCATATAAACATATATCTAAAGTCAATTAATCCTGGTAACTAAAAAAGTATTTCTGTAAAAATCTTTAACAAGTTTTATTCGGCATCTTCATCATTTTCTTTTTCTCCTAGAATCTCATAATTTTCAACACACATATCTTTTATTCCTAATTCATCATCCTGTTCGTCAGTACGTTGATAATGTTCAATTAATAGGTTTGGATCAGGATCTGGTAGGCAATCGGACTGATTTAAAAAAAATTAATTGGGTTAGAATTACATAGTCGTCTAAGTACGATAAAGTACGTATAAGAAGTAATGCACAAAAATGCTTTCCCAGCAATAGCATCAGCTAGGTATATTTTTATCTGCTACATGAATATTCGTATGGGCTGAAAATCATCTGCATAAAAGTAGGCAACGGTAAGATGTAATCTACCTGAATAAAGCTATTGCCAGCAGGATCATCCAGTATTAAAACGGTCTTTTCCTTTCCTGTAATTATCTATCGATGGATGATCACAATTATAATCGGGTTGTAAGTAGTCATAATGCCACTTCTAAATTTTCACTTCTAGATGGTTAAATAAGCAATAGTTTACCGCATCCACAAATGATACTATTTGATGCATCTTATTAACACCGTCTGAGCTATCTCCAAGTCCTAGAGGGTTTAATCTTTCAAGCTGAATAAATGATACAAGAAATACATATTAAAAAATATGTAACCCGAAATAATTGGCAAGAGGAGCATTCCAATATGATTTTTTTATCATTTTGCTGTAATCGAAGTTTACCTCCTCTTTGAGGTTTGTCAATAGTCCTTCGACAGTAGTAAATTTTCCTCCAGATACGCCCGTATGCCACTCAAATGGAAATGCAGGTAAAACTATTGTGCAAGTCTCAGACTAAGTTTACAGGATAAAAGGTAAATAAATTCATTAGTTCATTAGTAAATTAACATCTCGTCATACGAATCAGTTGTGTAGATAGTATAATTTAGAAATGTATCGTAGTGATGTACCTTTAAAACATCACGACTCATGTCTTGAGGTGACGTTATATTTAGTGTTAGACGTATGCCTTTCTCTGACATTCCAGCTGTTTTACAGATAGATAAAATTAATCACCACTCTTTATCAATGCCTCGGTAGTAGTTGCTCAGTACATTAATTGTCCTACTCTAGTATCGAAATGGCATTATTAGTAGCATAGCGGCCCAGTAAGTTACCTCCTGATTTTACTTCATTCGTCTTGAAGCCGCAAGCTTCACACGTTAATGCCATGATGATTACTTCCTTAAAATGTGGTATTTCTGATTGTAATGTTAACTTAGTTAAGAAAGTAACAGCAGTTGTTATATTGCAGTAAAATTTATATGCGATAGAATAAAAAGCAAGTACTACTGGCTTAACTAATAAATACGTGTTCAGTCTAATCTATATTTAGCAATATTTGATGGATGGATACGAACAGGAACCATTCTGGTTTGAGAAGGAGTTAAGCATGACGGGCAATTGGTAGCAAATACTATTACCTGTAGGATTATAATTTTTATATTTTAGTATCTTATCGGGCTTTTTTTAACTGTTAGAGTGCTGTATAAAGGCCTCAAAAAAGATACTTCTGTTATCGCTCACCTCATCAGGGTACTCTGCATCTTAAAGTTATAAAAAAACATCATTGATAAAACGTCATTTTAGTCTAGTAGTTATTATATATTTCTAACACTTGTCTAACTTAAGTTTGAATACCATTATTTTCTTCCACTCTTTCATTAGCGTTAGAGGTATCTGTAATGCCATCGTCTATCTGTATGAACGTTTACAACGATTTATGATTTCAAATAAACGAAACGTCTACAAAGATATTTGCAGTCAGAATATCGAACTATTCAGTTTATAGTACTTACTTGAAGACCCAATGAAAGGTTGTCCTGCTTAGTTCTGACATAATTTTCAACGATCATGCTAGTATCATGGTCAGGAAAGTATGGATTTTCAATAAAACTATTTCCTGCCGGATCTTCCAGTACCTGATATCAATAAGAACATAAGTTGCGAGACTATTCTACGGTAATCTCTTGACATATAAACGGTAAAGTATCAATCAAAAAACTATAATCGCTCTATAGATAGCGGTACTGTACTTTACAGTAGCTCGATATTTTGTAATATTACCAATGAAAATTCTTCGTCGCCGTAGAGGTATTTTTCTATTCGCGCGATAAATTCGTCAATCTTAGCAGCAACTTCAGGTTCAGCAATCTGTCAAGAAGAAATTCCAATATCATTGATAGATCAATTTTAAAGCGATAAAAGATGTCCGTAAATGTAACACAGCTACATTAACAACTTATCATAACTTGTAATAGCTAGGGTACATTTACTATATGATTTTAATAGTATAGCATGACGTACTCTTCTTTCTGGTTGAAGAATCTTTAGTCCATCTATAGTTCGTTGGAGTAAACCCTCAATTGTCGTAAGCACTATTATTATCCAAAAATGCAATCATGTTACTGACAAAGTAAAGACAGTACAATGACGATTCCTTTGCAGTACCTATATTTAGATGTATGACATACATAGCACAAGTCTAGCAACAATTAATATCAATGCTACAATCCAGCTAAAACAATAAATTAAATTTTACAATTTATCATCACATACAAACGTAGAATTTCTTGACGAAATATCAAGAAGTTTACTCTTTTGAAATATGCAAGTAGCATTACTTCTGCATAAAATACCTGCACTCTGCCCGGGCAAGGCGGGAATTTCGAAATCTAGCTGCGGAATTTTAGCTACACACCAATCTGATTTAATAATCTGACGATTGAGATCCTGTATCGTTGAAATAAAGCAGATTTGTATGCAATACTCATTTCTCGAGCATCAGTATCCAATATTCTTGTCTCTAGTTTGTTGCAACTAACCTTTGCATCTTTCACCCGTAAAGTATAGCGACAACCTTGCTCTTCAAATTTACCACCAAATTGTACTTCATTATTTTCCATATAGCAATGAGGACAGCGGAAAGACATGATGATAATCTCTCTGAACATAGGAATTTTAGTTAGCATCATTCTTGTGGTACCCTTAGGTAAAAGTAAAGAATATGGCTTTAGATCAGATCCTTAACAGGGTTAATTATACAATATTTCCATACAAGTATTATAACTCTTGTAATATTTATAGCACCAATATGAAAAAGTTGTTCTACTAAGATTTTACTAATTGATGAGATTCTTACAGTTCGTTTTTAAAATACACTCTACGTTTACTGAACTAGAAAATTTGTGATTCATCGCAGTATCAAGAAAAGTTAGGAGTACGTATACTAATTTTGATATCTATGCGAATGACGCAATGTAATACGGAATTGATTGCATGTACAACATACTAAATCAGGTAAAGTCTAATGCAAAGAATAGTATAAGTAGTCCCTAGCTACAGTAGGCCGTGTATTTGTGATAGACATCAAAATGGAACTATTCCATACTGTATAATTATTAAAGTGAATTAATTACTGCAGATCGCAACAGAAGAATTTGATTTATCCATTGATGTCCTCTTACATTCTCGTGGCAATTCATGCATAAACTTTCAATTTCGGAAATCTCTGGTGAATCGTCATCCGGCTCAATTTGCCGAAATAACGGCTTATTGGATGATGGTTGATTATCTGCCATATCAATGATGTTGTATTAAGCTTTTATCACTGTGCTTTAATAAATCGATGACTTTAGAAGATCCTTCTTCGAACATTTGCCTCTTGGGTGGTGGTGGAGCCTTTTGCTGTACAGCAGAGCATAGTAACTGTACACTACTTCACGATACCAAACAAGATGCCCAGCCGCCTCGTACAGTACACACGCTACTGTGCACTGTACAGTATGTACTGTACTGTACTGTACAGTGCGAACTGGGTGGGAACCAGATCAGACTACTGTACTGTACAGTACTGTAGACTCTACACAGTACAGTGTACAGTGTATAATACACTACAATACATACTGTTAACAGACAAATTTTTGATGTCTGAAAGGAGACCTACTGTGCTCTAGTATACAGTACACTAGAAGTTCATGACTGTAGACTGTACTGTATAGTACAGTACAGTGTACACTGTACAGTATTGTAGTCTCTTCTCCCAAGAAGTGCCTCGCAAAATATCCAGGAAACGAGTAGCTAAAAGCTGTGAAAGAGCGTTCACGGTTCGAAGATGGCGCAAGACTATAGTACAAGTGTACAATATACTACATAATTCATTCATTAATTATTGATGAGTTTATTTTATTCATGCTATGATTCATGCAATTTAGTACAGATCTTCATGTTCCGGACAGCATATGTTGATATAATAAGTAAGATCTACCCCCAATTTTCCTGGTATATTTATACTGCTTGTACACGATGTAATACTGGGTTGATCAATGGCTTGAATCTAGAAACAGGATCTGGAGTGTACAAAATCATAAACAAGAAGGGTTTACCTACAAATTTTTATAACATGGTAAATTTTAAATGAAGTAGCAGGCACCCGCTCGGCAATTTAGAAATGATTTGAAATAATTCTCTTCTTACTACTCTACTAATAGTAAATCCTAAAATCGATCACATACGGATGAACGTCATAACCGCAACGATATTTAATTTATCACTTGCATATTTTAGAATATCATTACTTCCGCCTTAGTAGATTATAAGTATCATATTCAATTGATTGTTTTTACTGTACATAGACATAGCGAAAATAAAAAATTATTGCTGGTATACGTATGTAAATGATAGAATATCTTGAATTTCACTCGCAAAACTAATTTATTTACAGTAAACTACTCTGTGTGCGTCATAGTATGAGATATGCTAATTTAATCAATAGAAAGATTGCATATTGAATTCTGCTTCCTACGCAAACTACAGCAGCTAGGATAATTAATTAAAGATTATAGATTTTAACGAATTTTTAACTTGCGGCTAAATGGCTGTAACCTACTGCTCTTACAGTGCTGTATTCCTTAGTTTACAATGATTAGTCGCTATGCATCGTGACTAGAAAGTATTGTCTATGGTCGTGCTGATGATTAATTAATATCGTGAATTTATCCTATATAAGGAAAGACGTACTTATTTGCATTTTTACTACGAAAGGTAAAAACACATTATAACAGTAATTGAAGCTGCAATTTATATTCTATTGACTTTAAATAGTTTATTTTTATGGTTATTACAATACTACTACTTATGTATGCATTAACATTATAATTTACTGTGTAAATACTCTGCCTAGATACATCCGGTGTAAGATAGAATTTATGTCATAGTTGGTTGTTAACACAGTGCTTTTATTCTCGAATTATAATAAGCATGTTTTTACTCATGATATATAATTAAACACCCGTTAGGATATGCTATTCTTTTAAAATTAATCCGGTCATAAGATAACTCAATGCATATTCAATGATTACAATTATAATTAGTTCGCGCATAGAAATGCAGCATACTATTTCGGTAACAATAAAATGATTGACCGTCTCTTCAAATGTCCAATAGCTTTATCAATACATAAAATTCCCTTTATACTCCAAACTGAATCATTCAGTTATTAGTCTAAAAGCGTCGGCGGCGCTTATATTACTAGCTTAATAAATAACTTTTTATATTGATAAATTATGCCTCGTATTCGTAGAATTAATTGCTGTAAGACTATAAATATCGCTGTGATTAATAAAATCAATATTGAAAAATTTTATGACGTATACAGAAATTTAGAAGAACGAAAGGCACGAGATAATTATCCTAATATTAGTAACGCTTTCAATAAGGTACCCATCCATTATTCATCTTCTACGGGTTAATCTAATCGATCAATGTACAAATTACGTTAGGAAATGCCTTGATACTGTAGCATCAATTATCATCTTAACTTTACGATTCAATAACACAGTTTGTTATAATTTTCATGTTTACTTCATAAAGTACTCATAAATTGCAGGTTTAATCCAAATAGAAGTTATCAGTATTGGATATAGGTAGCTAATGAAAAGTTGAACAAGACTGAGACGCATGTTAGTTATTACTACGACTATAAAGCGAAAAATTGGCAAGTTTCGTATTGTATCTTTCCATTTGACATACGTACTTTGTTCCAAACAAGATTTAGTAATTTTAATCAGCTTCAATGAAAGACTTGATCGAAAGAGATATTTTATAGTAGAACTTGGCAAAAAATCCACTTATAGTTATGTTATATATAAGATAGTGATTAGGTATTAGGTATAAGGTAGGTATATGGAGCCAGCTCTGAAAAGACCTGGGTAATCTAGTTTGTAATGAAGTTTGTGATGTCAGAATAAAACGACAATCAATCATTAACCTCTTTTTCTCTCGAAGACTAACTGAGTTTGGGATTCATTACTTTGTTACTCAACACATAGCAAGTTATTCAATAAAATCCTTAGATTCGTTATATTGGCATAATATCCAAGTACAAGTAAGACTGCAATAGTGCAAATGGCATCTTCCGAGTCCATTGCAACATTAACGCCATCCCGATACCGATCGAGACCTATATTATAATCTTGTTACTAAAACTATTTTGTATTAATATAATATTTATAACGTCACTCTCTCGTAAAAGTGAATAATCCTAGATTTACGCTTACGCGTATATCGAAACTGTCAAACAGACAAGCAGCGAATTTATACGTAGAAACGATCACGAAAAATTTACTGCAAGAATTGGCTCCGTTATATTCAATGCCTATTTCGTTTGCATAAAATGAAACAGGCACTGGAGCTATTTTATGGATGCCATAATGAATTACTAAGCAGTATTTTTTCGATTTAACATTTATGAAGTTAGCAAATTATTTCAGTAGCCAATTACTGTAAAACAATATGCTCAGATACTTGGATTCAAGATAGTGCTATTTAAGTTACTAAAGGAGTATTGCATAGTCTGGTCTAGGTCTTTATTAGGCATTTGATGTAGTCGAGCTGTATTCCATCCATGATATAATTGATACGTCAGAGTGGGTTCGAAAAATAGAAAAACTCGTACGATAGGTGTTTTGTATATATTAATAAATTTCCTATAAATCTGGACAAGAAGGAAACGTTCTATCGCAAGCAATTGTTGTGCCGCCGATGGTACGGATGATATCCTTCTTTGTAAGAAATTGTTAATTATTTCGATGAATGTTGAGATTTGATCGCAAAGCAACTTGATTGTTTGCATCTTTCATCTAAACATGTTGATATAACCTATTATACTGTACATACACTGCAATATTATACAATATAAATGAAAATTTTAACTATAAAGTAAAATCAGAACTTTATTAAAGTGATTGATTTCTGATGTATACTGTGATGCCATACAATCTTTGACTTAAAAGCCAATGTGTTACACTACACAAGAGGAACTGAAAATAGGGTGTTCTTGTCACTTGTAGGTGCTGCACAGACTTTCTCTTATTTGCTACTACTGTGCGTGCACAACAAATTATAATTTGAAATTAAAATTATAAATAAATTGCAGCTACGCCAATTTAGCATGACCGTGTTGTCTATACTGCGTGTAACTTTAACCATTCCTTTATATTATCTCGTAATTATTGCTCGTACATCGTCCTCCTCTTACTGCACAGTGTACTGTACTGCCTATCTACATATTAGAGAAAGTATTTATGTTCATTGACATTATCGCCAAATCCCCATAGTTGTTCAAATAAATTGCCTTATACTATGTCTAGAACTGGCTAATACTGTCTTCTAGAGTTGGTATTTGTTATTGCTCACGAACCTTGTAAGCAAACTATTAAAATTATGTTGGGCTAACTGCAGTACATTGCTACTGCTTCAATGCCTCTCCTTGGTGTTTCTCTCTTCCTGTTATTTAATAATACTGAATCAAAATCCGATACGCTTGAACAATGCTTAATACTTATTAATAGACATGCTGCAATACCTTAATCGTGAACAAAGTACAGCATTTTACTATTGATCATGTAATACGAAATAACTTAATGAAATAAATTACCAAGATAGTGTCAGAGGCAAGAACTTGTGAAATGCCGAATATGCGGTAATTGTTGTTTGTAGATAAATACTGATAAAGCTCATTATAATTATGAATTATACAGTATTGCACACACCCGCAAGATTTTCTTCATTCCATATGATTGTGTATTCTCTATTTTACAGGTAATATTTTCACTACTCGTGTGTGTTATGAGAGTAGTAGCAAAAGTTCAATTTTACAAGAAAACTGGAGTCGAGATAGACTTGTTTATGAATCAATTCTTTCATCCTACAATAGTACTATTCACATTGCATAATCCGACAGGACTGTCGATTGCTGTAAGAAACGTAATTATACAGCAAGTAGTCTACTCTTGTATACTGTATACGCAATGGTATATACTCCATTCTTATGTAGTGTGTATGTATATATATACAGTACAGTAGATTTATGAATTTACCTTTGAGATATGACCAGTATTTGTATGATGCAAATCTGTTTTATTTTTTTCACTTCACTATTCTCATAATTATAATGAGCTATGATTAAGTTTGCGTATAAATGTCATAAAGACAACTCTAGCGCAGGAAGCTCGGCTGTCGCGCTGTCCACTAAATATTGTACTGTACACTTGGTAGTAAGTAAAATTAAAAACAAACTTAGTTAGTGGAGATGGTTGAATCCACCTTGAATTTACAACATGAAAAATAGTTTTTTCTTCTAATGAAGAAGATTCGTTTACTGTATTCGATAGTACGTCCATGAAAGTCCAAAAAAATAAATAAAAAAAAAATAAAATAAAATAATCATGAGAAAATACGGTACCTCTATGTTACCGTCCGTACCGTACCATACCATACCATACCGGAGTAGAGTACAGTACTGTACACATTACTCATTGCAGTGAGAAAAAGCTTTTCTTTGAACTGTGCCTCTACCAAACAGATCTAAAGCCCGCCCACCCGACGACTAGGGCGAATCGACACAAAACGTCTATGTCAATAATACTGGAAAAAATAAAAGTAAAAAAATAGAGACATTATAATAATGGAAAGTAAATAGAGGAAAGAAAAACACTGCATAGAATAACAAAATGGAAATTCGAACAAATTCATTGACGGTACAGTACTGTAGTGAGTAAGGAGTAAGTGCAGTAACTATGCCACTCCATACTAGGGATGGTATCTCCATTCTGTCTACCGGACATTCAAGTGGATATTGTTTGCCGGTATGACGTCAAAACACTAACGCTACTCAGATGATTCATTCTTTAGTTTACTGCAACGATTAAGTCAATGATTTCTGTATGGAGTATTGAAGAATAGTATAAGAATATTACAACTACTGGACGTACACATTGTACGTCGTACGGTAAATTACTATATGAGCGATCGATGATTTAAATCAATCTGAATTCGCCCGATTTTGACGTTTTTGTATCTCACTACTTGAGATACCCCAAAAATGCGAATGAACATCTTTGCCAGACAGTGTAAGTGGTACACAACATTGAATGCAATACAGTACAGTACACAGACATTGTACTGCACAGTGTACAGTATAGTACAGTACAGTACAGTACTGTACATACTGTACTGTAGGTTGGGGTTAGGGTACAGTATACTGTACAGTACTGTATACTGTACTTGAGTGTACTGTACTGTACACTGCACTGTACTTTGATAAAGATGGTTGAACTTTCCTGCACTCAGCGATTGTACTGTACACTGCTCCAAAAAGTAAAAAAGGGACCAGGAAACGGCCGTTCGGTAAAAGTAAAAGTAGATTCAAGAATGTGAGACCGACTATTTTCTGGTCATTTCAACTGAAATGTATATCTGAAAGGATACACTATAGAGTTACGGTTCAAAATTTATAGGCCGCCACATTCTTTTGTACTGAACGGTCATTTTTCCTACCTCTCTCTTTCTAGTAATCCCTGATTTGACCTAGTGCCGTGGTAATTGTACAATAATGTAATCATGATATATAATTTACCTATTGCCACCGTCGTTATTTTTCACCAAGCATCAGAATTGTTACTAGCGGTAAGTTACTACTATTTGATTGAAGTGTATCAATGGCAGCTGGGGTACACCGTGCACGCGAATGTGAAAATGTACGTGTCTAGCGAGCGAATCGACTGTCTGAAATGCTTCAATAAAAGTTTGGTAGATTATCAATTGTAGAATGACTCAGTGTGTGGGATAAAATCCTTAAAACGAAACGACTGCAGTCGAATCATATTCTAAGAATCATTGGAAACTATCCACTGCATTCAATAAATTAGAACTTAATACGACAGAACAGTTGATTTCTTTTCGCCGTTAGTTGGTGGTCATTTCAGTACGCCGTATTATTGTTGTACTGTACACTGCACAGTAGAAGAGAGTACGTAGTGAATGACACTGTAAATAATTTAGTTATTTACTGGATTAAACGCTCAGAGGTACCCCCCTAATAAAGGAGGTAGTGTACCAAGAAAGGAAAGTGACTAAACTGCCATTTGGCACTTTCTCACGCCGCACTGTCAGTCTGTCACGCACTTTTCCAGTCCAATAGTACAGTAGTTGCTTGATTAAGTTCACCTTTTGCATTTGCAGTAGATTTCAGGTGATACCTATTAACTAATCCATTGCTGTAGTAAGAATAGAATGCACGCTAAACTACCTTACTGTTTTGACAGCCCGACAGCGGCAAGAGTAGCCGATCATCTTGATGACTGAATGACGCCAGCAATTGGCCGTAGTCATGCGCACTGCCATGGTGCAGTAAAACGAAAACGAAATACAGTACAGTACAGTACCGTGTACTGTACTGTACTGTAGTAATACTGTAGAGTCTCCCGTGTACAGTACTGCAGGGAGAGTCAGATTTCCAATTTCTATGACTCAGTGTACTGTACTGTAATCTGTACGAGCACCGTATCAGGCATACGGTGCTCGCTGATGCCTGACAGTGCAGTATAAACGCATTGTTTTTTCGCCTGTATGTGTTCGCTAAATTACAGTAAATAGAGAGTTGATGACAGATCCATTTCATTTTTTTTTCTTCTGTTTTCCAGCTTTTTTTTGTCGCCTCGTTTAGTCCATTTTTAAGGGAGATGTCGAGTGAACGGAATGGAAATATGCGACCAGTTCGCGTTGGATTTTACGAAATTGAGCGGACGCTAGGCTATGGCAACTTCTCTGTCGTCAAGTTAGCACGCCATCGCATTACAAGTACACAGGTAGGATGGCTTTCTCTTCTGCATCCATTACAGTAGGATAAGTAGTGACCAATGGCTGTTGATCAAGCACTCAGAGTAGGTGCATCATATCAGTACTTATGACAACAGGCCAATTCTCTACAGTGGAGTTAATGTTGAAAAATAGAATCAACATTGATCGGTAAAATATTACAAATGGATAGTATGGTATTTGATGCAATATCCACTCGGTCAATTGATAACTTACTGGCGCCTACTTGAATTGTACGGTACACACTGAAAGCACCAATTTTTCGACTTCACTTTTTGTAAAAGAAATCAATGTTATGAAAATGAGACGTATTCATTTTCTCGTGTATAAATGTCTGCTCGAATTGTGGCAGCGTAGAATTCAAGGTTAAATTGGAATTATCAGTCAAAGTCCATTTTTTCAACTTCTATCCAGTATGATCAAATCATGTTGATCATGTGCCATAGAAAAGAAAAAAAAAAACACTGGCATGTAACCGGTAAAAAATTTGGACTTCTTACCATCATAGTATATACGAATGGATATTGCGTCAAGACAAGACGTTGATCGTATCGACAGCACATCCAATTCTAAGAACTACTGTATCGAATCATTGCAATAGTCATTCTCTACAATGAGCCAATATTCAATATTCCATATAGTGTTGATATCACTACCGCCATCAGTCTATCATAATCTCCCATGTTAGGCGATGAATACCGCCAAGGCAATAAAGGCATTCACAAATTGTTCATTTCTGATAAATAACTTGTGTTTTCAGGGCAATAAGCCAATTTAAAACTATTTTCCATAACTGCACTTGGGTCTTTCCTGCCTTAATTTGGAAGAAGTGCTTACACAACATTTTACAATGTCTTAAATAGCAATTTATCAACAGTTAATAGCGGTAGATTATCTTTGGTGTGCACTTTTGCACTGCTGTACTCGCGTCCTACCATAGTTCACCATACTCATGCTCATACTAATACTATCATTTGAGGCGAAACAGTCCACTGAGCTCCAAGCCAATACTTACAGTAGACCACCTTGGACAGTATTGTATTGTACCGTAGAGGAGGCACAGTCAGTATACTTGCCATTTCAGTGCTGTATGGGATACATCGATCATTGAAACTGATGCAGTTGAAAAAGGTTGATTCCCTTCAATTCGGTATGGACTATTGTAAAAAGGATGTTATTTTAAATATTTTCACATCATAGCCTTCCTATCTTAGGAGTTTCAATAGTACGTAAATTGTGTATCCAAAGTTTGGTTGACTGTTCTGAATTGATGACGTTCTGGGTTGTTCTTGTGTGTAAATATCGATACGGTGGTAGCTTTTCGCTAAGGTAGTACAGTCAACGCGTAGAGCGAATCACTTTACGATATCCCAAGATAGAAAGCCATGTAGGAGACTTTTATATTTGCATGGGATTTCTTAAAATTATGTTGATCATCAAGTATACATTCTTCAAGCCAAATTATACTGAATGGTCAATTTCAACTGTTGCAAGGTTTGCTTGTTATGACAAAAATCAGCATCCTGTCCATCGACAATGATCAATTCGATATTCAGCGTATATTGCCCTAGTTGATATAGCAACTTCATAAATATTGTGTTAGATAATGGAATGTTCACCATCAGCGAGATGCCATGGAATACAGTAATACGTTACAAATGGAGAAGGACAGGTTATCATATCGCTTTAATCTGGACTTTTGTACTCATTCTCTAGCGGTTCAGCAAATTTACCTTCACTAATGCAATATCATGTACAGTTAGGGTTATGCCTTCTTGCCAATTTTTACCCAACTCTTTGTTGATCATTCTCGAATACTGCTTAAAAAGTTGTAATTTAGACTAGCAGCTAGGCCAGTGAATGGCATGGTGATATTTTTTACTATTGCTATATCCAATTTTTTTCACATATAGACGTTTAATATGTCACTGCTTGACACAGGAGTGATTCTTTTATTGAAATCTCTCTACGGCTAAACGAGGCTCTTTAGGTATTTCAATGCAACTCCTTTGTTTATAATCAAATACTGTACTGTGTTTATATCTTTCCAAGATGATAGAAAATTCAAATTCGCAACTTGCATCATGCACTCTTTTATTACGCATAGAGCAAATTATCTCGTAGATACCCTATTTAAATAACGTTTTTAGACGCTCGTGTTAATCTTTATTCAAATATTTTAAGCTCTCTACAGACTAATAACCAGCAATTGTCAACGACTACTCTTTCGACTTTTTTTTGGAGTAGTCCTCCAACTATACGCTAAACTAATCGAATGGATGATCTATGGCAATAAATATTATAAATATTATCTCAACTTGAAGAATTATTCCTAATTATGATAATCATTGTTATTATTACTAACTTGTACAACGCTCCCAATGCCATCCTTATATGGCATACCGGGGACTTATGAATCATTAAATTAACAGCGATGGCCAAATTGCACAGCAATCACCTTTAATGTTGTAATGCTATTTAGACGTTATCTGATATAAAGACATGTTTTTGGTACTCTTCACGATTCATGTTATACAGTAGATACATAGAGAAAATCAATTTTTCCTTCTGTGCACATAGCACGCACAAGCAATATCGAAAGGTAGCATCTTGGCAATGATAATAATATATATAATTAATTAAACGGGGCCACCTTGCACAAGATTGAAACTACGATAGCGATCGATAGCATTTTCGTATTACAGTATTATTCTAGTCAGATCAATTTTATCAGACGTCGTAAAGCATACATCTTCGGGCGTTTTTACGACATTTCATTGTTAATCATTAAATTTCAGTTAATAAAAAATCCATAGTGCCTTTTTTCGTAATCGGCCTACTGTCGTAATAAACTAATAGCTCATGCTACAGCATATGACGTACTACAGTAAATAAGATTCATTATACAATACACTCGTATGGTAAAAATTTAGCTGGAAGTTAGCCCTTGGGCCCTTAACCTTCGATGTGGATTACGTCTTTGTAGAGACGGACGTTAAACAAAATATATGTGCACTACAGCCTTCTATATTTATTGATTAATTTTATGATGTACATCATTTCCAGTTATACGCAGTTATTCAAGCTGTAATTTTAGCTCAACTTTTCATCTTTACATATTACTCAAGCACTTGCAGCTTTAAACTACTGTACCCATTGTCGGGTTATGTCTTGATCTTTTCGTCTACATAATGTGCTCTATTTTAAGATTTTACATTTTGAATCATAGGTGGCTATTAAAATCATCGATAAAGATCAGCTTGATAAAAACAATTTGGCTAAAATTTACCGAGAAGTTCAAATAATGAAGTTGATGGATCACCCAAATATTATAAAGCTGTATCAAGTACGTGTTAAATTGTGTAATATGATGGATAGTAGATGTCATGACAAATACAAAGTTAGAGGATAGTAATAAAAGAAGGCTATTGTTAAAGTCTGGCAAGTGACTCAATTGATTTTACTGTAAATGGAAAGAAGAATGCAGTCTTTCTCACTTTGCATCATACTGCTTAGGATAGTGTCGTAATGCCATATAGGATTTTTCTTTATTGCTGTGTTGATTCTAATGTAGTTCGGTTATTGTTCAGTTTAGTTGGTTGGTCACTATAGCATAAATTCAACGAGAACTTCATGGTCTAAACAATGCGTGAATAATGCATTAATTGTACTCTTTTGGTTTCTCATCGAAAATGTTTACAGTGTTGTACCGCACATTGTACTAAGTACGGTACAGTGTACGAGTACAGTATGTCGCAGATATCTGTGCTGGATACACCCAATAGACAATATATATTTTTAACCCATACTTATCATAAGGTCTCATTATTGCTATGTAGGTCCTGGAATCGAAATGTATGCTTTACTTGGTGACTGAATATGTCAGCAACGGTGAAATGTTTGGTGAGTTGTTGAGATTATTCAATGATAGATATTGTTATCAAAGCTGGTGCCTTATGCAAATGCTTATACGAAACTTGAATTAGTGGAATGATCGATTGATGAGTACTATACTTACTGTACATCATCTCTGTAATAGAAGAATATACTACCATAATCTATGAAATTTAGGATACTGTTGAACAAATTTCGGTAAAGCTAAAAGTAGTCAATTAGTGTACTTCTTGCACACTCTAAATTACAGAATACCTAATCAGTGATAGCGTATTGACACATTGAAAAGATAGCTAGATGGAATGTATTCTGCGTCTAGGAGCAACAGTATACTGCATGTATTGATTACTATACTTCTGACCTAAACTTTATTAATCTCGAATATATTTTAATTTATACGAGTGCGATAATAGAAATATATACCATTCACATGATTACAAAATGCTTTAATATAATTTCGTGATGAGGAATCTTGTCTTATAAATCATTGCAACGATGAACTTGATGAGTACCGTAGGTGTCTTTTTACGGACTTTTGATTGTTAATCTATCCCCATAAAAATCTTGACAATTGCTTAATATAGATTTTTTAGAACACATCTTCAGCCGTGATTATAACTAACGAGTGGCAACTAATAGTTTGGAATCGTTTTAGTTATTGTACCATAAAAATCATTCATTTTATGATGACTTCGCTCCTTTTTTTACTCTCTCGTAGTGATAATGACTTTAATGCTGTTAATTGTTGCACTCTATATTGATAATGAAAAATCACTAAGGACAGACCACGATCTTAACGTATAGCATGCGGTGATAATAATCTGCGTATTTTAATTATTTATGGAGGTCATGATGTGATCTAGAATCAGTTAATTAAATACACTTTAATAGGTTAGCTTACGCTTTACAAATTTGTACTACTGTAGCTAAGAATATTTAACATATGGTTAAATTTCAGATCTTAGCATCTACATGTGATTTACTATATAGCGATAAAATTAATGTATCAAAACCTTTACAAAGTTTACGACTACGGCACTACTAAGTAATAATGCAGTTTGTTTTAACCACAATGTGTATTGATTTACTTTACCATCGGAAAAATACATTTACGTGCGAAAGTTACTAGACTGCTTGATGCGCGTGTGTAATTTATGTCTTATATGACGATGGATTGAAAATGTACATCAACGTGATTTCGAGTACAATCCGTATATATTATATGCTATTATTATGCGATGTCAAAGTAATAATGACAAATATCGTAGTTTTGATATAATTAGCTGGTAGAGAATCAGTAAATGCTGGTTTAATTAGTAACCCGTTGGGACTCTATAATGTTTTATCTATACTAAAATATATTATTTTATTGTAAGCTTACTTTTAGTTTATTATTCTCGCTGTTTCTACATAGTGTAAACTGAATACTGTACGATTCTATCGCTATCATATTCATGGCTTTCTAAGCCGGTTTATGCATAACTTATTGTTATAGAGTATCTCATTGTAATACTAGATATTCCCTTTACTGAACTATAATATATAATTATTAACGCTATTCTATTATCGTGACTCTTAAACCTTACTAATGATTTGTGCTAAGATTCTGGCTAATTCAAGAATGCTATCCTAGCCCGTTTCTAATAACAATAGCGGATGAGATTAAAATTAGAACAGAAACTGAAGTTTTTGTAAGATTGCAGCCGCCTAGCATGTACTAAGCTGGGGGGGGGGGGTTGGGGTTTGTCAGAAGGGGCTCATTGCCATATTCGCTGTCGATTAATTGATTACTAGACAAATATTTCATGCGTGCCAGTCGTAAATATTAACTAGAATATTTCCAATCAATGCGTAAAAAAGCTGATATTTTATCAATAATTCTATCACCACAATAAAAGATTCACTTAATATTGATAACTCAGCATTTGGGAATATAGATATCATAATTCCGAAACCAGTATACAGGAACGCATTATTTACGCTATCATGCGACGAATGACAACTAGTGATTGTAATCGGAAATATTTAAAGCTAGATTGAATTATACATTATGAGTATACAATGAGCGTAAATCAGATATAAGTCTGTTAGCTTACAAATTCAAAAGGCCTTTTCGAGAAAAGTTCTTTGATGGTTCCTAGAGTAGTTATTTAAAGTAATTATAGATTATCCAACTGCTTAATTATATTCTTAATTAACAATGACTACGTTCGTTTCATTTTATAGACCTACTTTCACAGCGTGGTAGATTGACTGAAGATGAAGCTAGAAAAAAATTTCAGCAGATTGTTCTAGCAGTCGAATATTGTCATGATCATCATGTTGTTCATAGAGACTTGAAAGCCGAAAATCTTCTCTTAGATTCTAAAGGCAATATTAAACTTGCAGGTATGCGAATACCGGAACACTTTTAAAACTTCACTACTTACTTTTGGATTCTAATGTTATTTAACATAACCGTTTATTATAATAACTATTACATATTCGTTACCGGATTTCTTTTAAATATGAATACAGACTTTGGATTCGGTAATACGTACGAAGATGATCAGTTATTACGGACGTATTGTGGTAGTCCGCCTTATGCAGCACCAGAAGTATTCCAAGGCAAGGCGTACAATGGACCTAAGCTTGATATTTGGGTATGATAGCAACTGTAACTCTTTTAATTATGAAATTAAAGAAGATATAATATTGCTTAATTCATCTAATACATATGTTAGAACTTTTAAGAACTTACGACATTTTATTGTCTATTCTTAACATATTTAGAGCTTGGGTGTGGTGTTATATGTACTTGTATGTGGTTCTCTACCTTTTGATGGAAATACACTTTCTGAACTTCGGAGTGTAGTACTAAATGGTAGATATAGAATACCTTACTATATGTCAAGAGGTAATTTCTTACCAAATGAATAGCAGAAACTTAACATGAATAGACCACAAATCTCGGCAAGACCCTAGAATATAGTTTATTGAAGCTGTTATTAATGCTGTTACTTAAATCTTATGAAACTGAGTCAATCGTCCGATCGTGGACTCTAATTTGAAAAGTCTCCCAATATAGTACTAGTCGTTAACTACGATTATGTTGGGCGATATTGTGATTTTGATCTTTTATGTTACTATAACTAGACTGTGAGCAGCTCTTGCGAAGAATGCTTGTAATCGACCCTGATAGACGCTATAGTATAAAACAAGTCAAGCAACATCGTTGGTTAGCGTTCTCGCCGAAACTGCGGCAAAAGGATTATGGTAAACCAGCCATTGATCCCGCTACGTTAAATGCTTATAAAGAAAAAGCCCTACAAAATATGGAAAAACTTGGTATAGACAAAAAGAAGACAATGAATGTATGTGGATTAACGTCTTAATACTAATAAGTATAATCAATTAATCTATCTAATTAGTCTTCATTTCGCATAATTTTCTATATCTAATTTCTTAGATTTCAAACTTATAAAATTGTCTATTGTTTACTTTTTAGTCTATCGCTAATAATGCCTTTGATCACTATGCTGCGATCTTCTCATTTTTGGTTGATAAATTAAAAGCTTGCGGTACAATTGCTGCTGCTAGAAGACCAAGTTCGATCGCTGATCAAGCAATATTAACTGTAAATCAACGAATTTTAGTTAACGGAAATGTACAAAGTAATAGTCATAGCGAAGAGGAACAAGAAGCACAGTCAAATTCATCGACAGTACTAATGCCTAACATGGCCAAATCATTTACAAATGGTGATAATAAACAATTGCCTGCGAATCGACCACGCAATGGTTCTCTACAAGAGGAATCGAAAACCATGAATGGTTATAGCAATTCAGATAACGATGGGAATGACTTAAGTATTGGAAACAATGATAGATTGAAAATGCGTCGCCACTCCTACCATGTGCCAGCAAACGATATGGTCAGTAATAGTATAGAGACCTCTCCTAGTCAACAAATCCCACTATCTTTTCTACAAGATAGATTTGTCGGGAATAACATATCCGTAGATACTGCAATTGGTGTGGATGCTTCTGTTACGCCTGAAAATTATTTGAACGTAGAATCTCCTGCTCCGCAAGAAATTACAGTTTCTCCAGATATCAGCGACACCGGCAATAATTTGGAAACAAATCAAAATGAAAGGGCTACGCGACGTTTAAGTTTATCGCTACATGGTGCTCGAAAAGCTCATGCTCCTGGTAATGATGACGTAAACAATAGATTTCCTGCTGGATTTCGTGCTGGGAGACGATCGTCAGAAAGTGCAGCGATATCCAATGAATTATCAAATTTACAACTTGAAGATAATCCTAGCGTAAAGCCTAAGATCACTACGTGGGATGGCGGAGATCAACTATTTCAAAATTCATCAGAAATTGACAGTGCTAGCACTCTAGATAATAATTCTAACACAGAGAATGTAATTTCTACTCCAAAACAGTTTAACTTCTTGGTAGATAAAAAGAGAAAAAGATTTTCAGCTGAACTGGGAAAGTTAATTAACAATAAATCTAGCGATGGTAAGTCATTAATTGGCGGTAATGACGTATCGAAGCGCATGTCCCAGTATCAAGAACCGCTGCAAGTGCTGACGGAAGAAAGCCCTACTATGATGCAATCGCCGCCAGGCGAAGCTTCTGATAACACCTATCATTTTCCAATATATGAATCGCCTTCATCTGAACATTTTATGTATTGTAAAACTACTGAAATGGTAGAAGATGACCAGCAAATGGAAGTCATTACTAACGATATTACTGCCAATTCAGCCGTTGCGGAGATGAATGAAATTGTCGATGAAAATATAGCCAGCGGTGCAACCTGCGTTAGTTGCCAGTAAAATTTCTTGTGGATTCTACATCATATATGTTTATTTTGCTAATCTGATGTACGTGTTTATGTCCAAATTGTGAGTCTTAAATCTTATAGTATTTAAGTAATACTTATACGCCTATAACATAATTTTTTGTTCATATTTATGAAGAAAAGAGGAATAATTTGCAAGTCAAGGTTATTAGCATATCCAATTTCACAGCTCTTGATAATTGTTGTTGTAAATAATATACAGTACAATTTAAAAGTAGATTGTAAAAAAATTTAACATGCCGCGGAAGTATTTGTTGCGGTATGTTGTATTTTACAGTATCAAGTCGCTTATATATTGTGTTAATAATATGACAAAACCAGTATCATTACTCTGTTGGTTACCAAATCTATAACCTTGTTTATCCGGTTGTTCGTATAATTGCACTCGCGTGCATAATTTCTGAGAATGATTATAATCAATGAACATCCTTGCGATATCCGTATTTGTACAGCATAAATTTACTAATTGTAGAACGTGTAGAGCATCTATTCGTAATGTAGCCGCTATTGAATAGGAGGTACGTCGAATTTTTCACGTTCAAGGATTAGATAACTTCTTTGTTGCTGTCAATATATAGCTCAAAGAATTGATGAGCTTGACTGCGAGTATCGTTATATACTAACAATAAGTTATTTTAAAAAAGTCTTTTAAAACCTGCCATGTTCCCCTAATTTTACCTTTATTGAATTCGAGCATGCACTGTTAGATATTATGCTAGGAATGAATTGAAAATTATTAAGTTAATTTGGCCATTATAGACTTAAGCGAAGATTATAATTTAATCCTGTTGTACACATCTATATATCATAATATTTTTGGAACTTACATGGATATAAACCGCTGTTATAATTCTGATCTGAAGATTATTAAGATTATTTAACATTGTAGATATATTACTCGCCACAGATAATGATTGCCTGTTGGATAGCTACCAATGCGATGATACGCAATGGTATGTATACAGTATACCTGCTATAATTTTAAGTGGTCATTATAAAAGTACATTCGATTCATTTTTCTTTTATTCCTTTTGGCCGCTATTTGATAACAATTATTTGATCTGTTATCCTGATTTAATGCTCAAAGTATTACGAAGCATTCTTATGATGGTGATTACTGTTGTAAGTGTTTGTTGTAGGGTAATAAATGCAGTGTACTAAATGTTGGCTGATAGCATTACATGCTTATGAGCCATCAAAGATTATAAGAATATTATATTATGTTAGAAGGAAAATTTCTTGTACAGAATTGTCAAAGTTATATTCTTAGTTGTATTAATGTTTAGCAACATTGTATTACTGTGTTGTATTGTCTTCACTAGTAATACGCTTATAATTTAAAATTTTCAACTTTTATTTTAATTGATGATATTGATCCATGAAAACGTATTAATCGATGTGAATATTAGAAATTGGAATAATGCTGTTGAAAAATGTTACAGTTTGTTCATGCTAGAAAATTGGCTGATCGAAAACAGTAATTTATAATTTCACTATAACTTGTCATCGGTAGAAAGTACGGAATTTCTTTCAATTTGACCAAGTGTACATTCTTACAATAAGGGATATCAATCTGTTGATAATATCAATAAAAATATTATACACTCTTGTTACCTTGAAATAAATACAGTGAATAATTTACTGGGATGAAATGTGAATCGGAATAAATAACGTCTTAAGGTGTAATACAAAATACTTATATTAGAGAAATTTGCTGCTATTAATATTTGGAAAATATTGTTTAATTTTATGACATGATTCAATTCAACATTTAAAGCATTATTCTTGATTGAACTGAAATAGTGTACTTCACAAGTACGATATACGCGTATAGAGAGTAATGACGGGATTTATATTTATTTTCAAGGAAATATTAGGTAATATACATGAGATATGAGATATAACCGAGACGATCGTCTATGAAATGTTAGTTATTGTTTATTTACAATTTAAGTTTGCGTGTTGAAGGGGTTACTACTGTATGTTTATAATTCTGTATCAAGCCTCCTCTATAGTATTACTCTATTAACACGTCTTAAATGATAATTCAATTTTCATGCAGAATTAAATTCATAACTTACTGTAAAGTACATTGGCTTTTACGGTAAACGTGATAGCTTTTATTACAATATTAAATGTAACTTTGTGCTGATTGCGTATATTTTTAGCCTATATTTTACGTGTACTGATATAATTGTTAGGTTGCTGGTGCATGGTATACACATATGCGTATACGTTATAGATCGTCTAGCAAATATTACGGGCATGCCGATTACCGTATATCTACATTTACTGACAAAATAGCCGTGTGAATATCTCTAAACATCGGCACGAAAACGGATGTAACTTTCGCGTAGGCGTCTTATATTTCTCCGAATTACGATTCAGGCATATTTTGCACGATATAACAACAATTGAGACTACAATTGATTTTATCTATTATTATTAAATAATATTGCTTATAACCTAAAGAAATAACGTCTAAGATTGAAATTACATGACAAGAGACATTGGTATGAGATCAGATGTAACCTTGAATTGCCTGCACAATATTGCAATGGCAACAATTACTAGAAAACCCATTAAAATTTTGACATTTTTCGTAAACAAACTTAAATAGCTTAACCGGAACTTCTGCGAATCGCTACTAAATATTTAATTATAATAATTATATTGGAGAATGACACAGTTTCTTTTTTGGCATCCTTTTAACTAATTCTTTTATTACACATGGTAACTGTGTTATGAAGCAACATTTTCAGAGGGATAGCCATACTTCAACTGATCAAATAACATAATGTAGCCTTGTATGTTTACTTTCCGGTAGCCTCTTACCGTAGTTACGCTTTAATAAAAATATTAATCCAAATTTTAGTAATAATATCATTATTGTTGGAGCCTTTAAATTTAGATTTTATATAAACTGAGAATATTAGCAAACGGAATTGATGGTATTTCTACCATAATGCACATAATAATTTCGCTCGTGGCCATAATATTAGAAACTACATCTTTTCTATTAACGATATTTGTACCCAATGTCCTTATACGGAACTACTTTTATTTACTAAATTTCATTGTCGCTTCGTTACTATCTGTTATTGGTATTGACATAATATATTAAAAATTTAATAATAGTGACACGTGAGAGGGGTTACAAAAAGACATCGCGTGGACTCGTATGCAAGTACTATCGGGTAAAAGGTAGCATAGGAAATGAATAGTTTCGAATGAATACCGGTAATGGATAAAAATACTTATATTCTTGTATTTGAATACAATTGAACTTGTGAATCATTGCAAATGGTGTAGTAATAACAATGGCAGACATTGTAGACTCTGCCTCCATTGCCTATTACATAGTTAACACTATTTTTTCAACGTAGAGCGAATGTTCTGTGCTCTATTATACAACAGTTTAATTCTACAATGTTTATACTAGCTAATCGAATTTTAATGAAAGCTGAAGAGGCTTACAGTAACTTATCCGTATATTTTTCATTTCTGATAGGAGAATAATTACATATGTAAAGAAACGATTATCTTTAACGAAAATCAGTCAGCATTTGTGCGGTGTACGAGAGGAACGAAAATATTTTTAATTACTATTGATCCGCAATGAATTACAATCAATATAATATAAGATGAAGATACTTAAGAATAATTCCATGTAATTAATAAATACAAATTGGACAAGTATATATTTTAAAAAAATAGATCGTTCACAATCCACTGCAATTTCTAGTCATATTTTTCTTACACGAACAGTATAAATCTGGAGTCAATATCCTTAATTTACAAGTAAATGCTTATCCCTTAATATGATCAATATTAGTGAATTAGAACAAAAACAAGGCTTTAGTTAATTATAATAGATCACGTTAACATTCAATGTATCCGATCTCAGTTATCATCTTGCAATAGATATTTTTCCTCACAATAAAGTATCGTTTGAAGCTACATGAAATAGAATATTCATGATACTTAAATGTTTTGAGGATTGCAAAAATGCAGCCAGTATGATATCGTGTAATAAAAATAGAAATCTCTATGTAATGGATTAAACAGTTGAACGTTCTTAAACATATTTACAGTAACTTAAAATATACTTGAAGGTACCGTAGCTATTTATACAAAAATCAACACGGAATTTGATTCTGCACCAACTGGATAAGATCATACGCAACGGTTCTAGAATCAGGACAAAATAGAATAGCGCTGTTATTTCATATATCTTGGACAACTTCATAAGCATAATAGATAACGGACATTTCGTTCATTTACTGCGAATGAGCCATTAATCTATTGTTCATTACGATGCTATCCTAATGAAATAACTTTTCTGAAGGTGTAATAAGTACCTTGGATTTAGATATGAATTCTTAATGATACTAATTATAAATTTTGCAGCCTCTTTTTCGGTTTTTTGTGGTTGAAATCGAGCTCTAATGTAAAGATAATATATTATAATCACGTAAACATTTTGATCAATTTCGGTTTGAAGGGTCATGCAATTAAAAAGGAAAATTTAAATGAAATATTTAATCTAATATCATATACCTCAAGTATTTAGTAGTTTGTCCTCTAAAACATGGCAGCCCCGTGTCTAACATTAATGTAACCAGAGACACAATTGTCTCACAAAATGGTCTAATAAAGAGAAGATAGAAAAATGAAAGGAATTAGTAAGTTGCCGATCAAACTAATTCATTAAAATAGAACGATGCAATAATCAGTTACCTAACGGCCAAGTAGGCTTTCACACAGTAATCCACAAATTTTCTATTTGAGAATAATATTAATTATGACTAAATACATAAAAATTATCATACCTAAACATAGTTGAAAGATTTTGGCAATCCGACTTACTTGAAAGGAGCAGTACCATCTTTTCCTCCCATAATTAGTACCATTTCTTCGGTTAATTTAATATTAGGTTCAAACCCGATATTACCGCCGGGTGATGACTCGAACATAAAACCAAAATCTACGAAATGGAATGTTTAGTATAGACAATATATTGTCAATAAAGACAGGATATAAAAATAATGTATACGAGCATCAAAACTTTTAGACATCATGTACCGATATGAATAATATGCCCATCTTTATCGACCATGATATTGCCATTGTGTCTATCTTTAATTTGGAGCAAAAAGCTAATAATAGAATAGGGTGCCATGCTTTTGATGAAGTTACGTCTAGCCTATATGAAAAAATAGTATTGAAAATTAAAATTTTACTTTCTCCATTAGCTATTATAAATTGTACTAACTCTTTGAAATGAGAACGTTGATTCATCTCCATATGTTTGTAAGAAGTAGGTAAATAAGTCAACTTCGGTTTGCCTTCCTAATTGATCTCGTGATTTAGCATCAGGAACGCATTCAATTACACCACACTAAGGCAATAATTGCATAAAGGGGATATAAATGCGAGAATTTAGTTGCACAAATTCGTTAAAGTAGATAGGTTTACGAACAAATGTTATAAGTAATGCCAATTTAAACTTACGCCAGGAGCAGTTGCAACCACACGATAAGGGAATAAAAATAATTTCAAACCAACATTTTCAAAAATGCTCTTAAATAAGGAGATAACTTGCAAAGCCAACATATCCTATCATTATCAAGTTACGTGAATTAAATAAATATCTTTCATTATGAAAATCATATAATAACTGATATGGCAAATATCTCCTAGTGATAGCTGTCATAGGAAATAACTGATCATGCAAAAAGTGCTTTTAAACTCAGTCGATTGCTACTATGGAAAGTAAGAGTACAAATTAACTGCTAAAACTAATTGATCTGGCACAATACAAACCTGACGAACATCATCTCCGACTTTAAAAATAGCTGCTTGCCAAATGATATTTTCAGTAACTTCATCGTCGTTTTCCGATATGGCAGTTAAGGTCCTATTTTCACCTACATTTAGACCTAAAATTTCCGTATTTTCAATTCCACATCGATTGACTTTAAATTTTGCCAAAAATGGAGCTTTTGCAGCACTTTGCATTGGTGTACCAGAGCTATGATCAATATCGACAACTACAGCTTCAGGGTTACTTGGAAGATAGACACCAGGTTGAACATTTATCGCGCTTAATTCTCTTAGGCAAGCTTCCTTGCGGGCTTTACCTTTAGGAAACGATTTTATAGCACCAGAAATAGCGGTAACTTTCCCGAAAAATTCAAATTCTCTATTGTAAAAATTTAATGCTGCTCCTGATAAAGACTTTTTAATAGAATTAATGATATCTTCTAATTTTGCTCCAATGGTGTCATCTAAATGTTCTCCTTCATCATCTTTATACATATTGACTTTCATGTTCCAAATAAACTGATGAGCCGTTAATTGTGAATGAGATGCTGCCCACAAAATAAATTCACGAACATATCCGAAATCGTCATAACGAATTGCTTGGACTATTTGAGGGATATAAAATAAAAGATCACTAAATGGGTAACTTTTCATAGATCGTAAGGCATACTGTGCAGCCAATACATTACGTTTCATAAAGAAAGTTAAAGCATCTGCTGGAGATAATGGTGCCCAACAGAGGATATGGGATAAAGATGGAGGATCTTCTTTGATGAGTTCGTCTGTAGCAAAAAATTGTAACGATTCAGGCATATCTGCAACAGCACTTGGATTTTCTTTGATTATATAATGTATTTCTTTGGTGAGCATAACAATATGTTTAAATCGAATAACCATTCTTACTGCCAACTGAGGTGATAAAGACCATGCTAAATGTAGTAGATCTCCCCAGTTATTATCACTGACCGGCTGAACAGACCAAGATGAGACATTCTGTTCGCCATCTATCGCCATTTCAAGTTGGCCTAATGGGTTATACCATGCAATAAGACGTTCAATTTCGTTTTGAACAAGTGATAATATTAAGCTACGTAGTCTTAAGAAATCTTTCACTTCTGGGTTAGCAGACATGGTAACTCGACGGCGAGAGCTGGTATCACTTTGACGTTTTGATGCAGGACCAGTTGAAATGACGGTATTTAGCCAGCCAGTAGATTGATTTAAAAATTCAGAACTCGACCGAAACTCTCCAGGAACACTGCCAACGGTACGAATCGACAAGTTATCAACTGAGTCTCCAGTACTTAGAGTCATCGCCTTAATTGATTTTCGATCAGCAAAAACGGCTTGCCAAAATTTGATTAATATGGCTATTGTCAATGATAGCTCTTCCATATCACCGGTAGGCCAGCTACTATCACTCTGGAAGTAATCTAAGGCAGCAAAATAAATTTTCTTACGTAAAAGGGCTTTGGCAATTCCTGAAGGTAAAGCATCAGTTTGAATTAAGTTTAATCCCATGCGCAATAATCGAAATCGAGCAGATGCAGCAGAAAGGTGACGACATACTTTTTCCTCACTCTGTACGGCATGTGGTAAGGATTGATGCAATAAAGTAGCAAATAATTCGACTAAATTTTCATTGCAATATTTTGCCATATTTAATCTTTCGGCATAAAATTTAATCCACAAATCATGTGGCTTCGATGATCGTATCACTGCCTTAGGTGCTCCACTGCCGCTAACCATGTTTAAGGGACGATTTTCCGATGATGTAGCGAATAAGCCTAACTTTTGATCAATACTCCATTTCCAAACCGAAGACAAATCACTAAGTAGCAATTGCTCTAATTCTGGCTTGGCGGCTAGTATCCATTCCCAACAAGAAATTCCAACTTCCATGGACTCTTTAGTAAAAACACGAACAGGTAATAGACAAATTTGTGTTAACAATTTTCTATTAATTTTAGTAGTTTCGTTGACAGTAGCAGTGGCCCTAAATAATACAGCAGTTAATTCGCGATTGTTAGATTGTTTCACGTTTTCCATTTGTTTTAGAATTATATCAAATAATTTGATCTCAGCGCTTTTATTATCGATAGACCGTAACGTATCTTTCATTCCTAACACTTCACCCACGTATCGACTTCGAAGGCTGATGGCACCGGTAAATTGTGAGCTACGCTTTGCTAAATATTCTGGTCTATTATTCCTTGCTGTGGTCTCTATCTCTGTCATATTTCCTTCATATTCAAGAGTTTTTTCGGCAGCCAAGGCAAGTCCGCTATGATTAAAGAGGCAGTCAACTGCTAAAGTAAAATCCATTAGACAATGTTCAACAAATGATCGTGTAGCCTTAGGAGCGCAACGCATAGCTTCTCGAAGAATTTCTTTAGAACGGGCGGTAAAATCGTTCATCATTCTCTCACGGTTTTCCATTGATTCTGATATAATAAGATTATAAGATGTATCTGGTACAATAACTTCTACAGCTTTCAGTTCACCAGTGACATAAAGATGCTTAGCTAATAAATGTATGATATCAAACATTGTTCGTAAAAAGCGATGACTCCAAAGAACGTGTGGAAAATGACTAACAAGCTGCGACAGGTAGCTATCGGCAACTCGCCGGATTTTGTCTTGCGTACTATTAAACTTAGCGAGAAGGAATTGACCGAAAGACTCTAGTATCTGCACTCTAGTGTTTGTGCGCGGTTTTCCTTCCATTAAATCGATAAATTCTTTAAATATTTTATTCGAGGCGTTAGTAACACATATAATCATGCCATCTTTATCTCTCTGTATTTCTTTGTCTTCGAGGTATGCAAACATCGAAGTATAAACGTTGCCAATTGATTTTATCCGAAGTGATTCCAGGCGATACACCGCTAAAAGGTAGATACATTGAGAAAATCCTAGCTTTAACACAATCGGAGATAATTCTGGGCTTGGGCCAAGTATAGATAATATTGAGTTACGTAATTCTTGTAGTTCAGTCTAAAATCAAGTTAACAACAACACTTAGCAGATATTTATTAGTTATAAAATCTTATAGTTATTGTTAAAAATTTCGAAGGGCATCAATTTAACCCATAATCAGTTAACGGATACTTACCGGTGTAATATCATAGTTTCGTAAAGCAGAATTATATAAGAGCTCAGAGCGTAAATGCTGCGATGACAGCAAACACGGAGATTTCGCGGCAATATCTCGGACTCCCTCATGCCATTGATACGGCCATAATCCTAAATTGTTGAGATTTAAATTACTTGTATAAAATCTACATTTCCAGAACTGCATCAGACATCTGCTCATACGGTAACAGATAGGATGCCACATTACCTGCATCTTCAGTAGCAAAACCCATCACGATGCAGTAAAGCCAAAAATCTTTAAAGAGTTTCCTTAATCTAGGTTTTGGATTAGTAATAGGCTCCATACGATTGGTAAGCTAATAGAATTAATTGAGCAAGAATTTATAGCTTAACAACGGTTTATTTGCCTATTATTCAATACATATCTGGTTATTTTAGATAAGTGATTTAGTCTTACTGCTGCAATCGCTGGAATTAGTACCCCCAAGTTTCCAGCCAGTGATGATGCCTAGAGAGAATGAAATAAAGCTTTTAGATTGTAGGGTATAATTTAATATTTACAGCATTCGAGTAAGATTTTAGAACTTAATAAATTACTTTTAAGGCGGCATTTGTCTCCGTTGCTTTTCTACTTTCTAGTCCCATCTGTACAAACACTTCCAAAAGACCTACTAACGTATTTTCCATATGTTCCGAACCTTCAATATCGGAGGCAATGCGATAAAGTGCAGAGATCACCGTCGAAGAACAATATCTATTCCAGATTCACAAAGTTTATAATTAAAAAACTGCACATATAAAATTAAGTGCCAAAGTTGCAAATAAAATTATCTTACTTGTATTTGTCAATGAGATCCTTATGATAAACATGAACGGCCGATTCTGAATTAATTCTCTTGAAAAGATCGAAAACTGTCTTGAAACTGATATCCTGTAAATATCCGAGGATTTCATATCACTATATGGAATCAGAAGTTGGTTTAATACCATCAAAATGAAAAAACTCAACTTACTGGACATTGTACAACAATTCGTCCGAGTTGATCAACAATAACGCTATCTAACTGGGAAGGAGGACGACCCACGCGTTGTAACAACGTCGACATTACCGAGTTGACAATATCAGGGATATCGAAAAATTTGACTGAAATATGACCAGCAATTAAGACCGCATTTATCAAAACAAACAGAGAATCTCTGCGCAAAAGGAAAAGACGAAAAGTTTTAGAATTTTGTAGATTATAGAGTAACTGTAACTATAAGTTAAGTTGAATGGACTTCCGTCGGTATACCTTTCCATATTCTCAACGGTGTAAAGTTTGTTGCCAATCTTAGCAAGAAGTTCCTCCACAACTTCTTTATCCTTGGTAAGTCCTGAGCGAATTGCTCTATATGAAATGTAGCTGTCAAAAAGGTACTATGATGCAAAAAAGCTACATTGAAAAGTGCTTACACTTCTAAGCTGTCAAGACAACTGTTCAGAATGTGTTCAAGATGGCTATCGGTATCTTTAAGAGCAATTTTTACACCAAACTGGATGCCAGTCTGTGGAGATGTAGGCGGTGTGTCTTCATCATCTGATGTAATCAATGGTATTTTAGTAGAAGAAGTAATCCTTGCGTCTTTTGCTTCATAGAAACTCTTAACTACAGGATAAGGTTCTAATAGAAAGCTGCATAGCACGCTTGCACCACTCCTGTTAATTAGGCACCAAAACGATACGTTAATCAAATACTTGTTCTGTGCACAATCGTATAAACTTTACAGCTTAAAAATTATACATACTGTGCTAAATAAGGCATTTTCTTGGAAATATTTCCAATACCCTTTTAAGAGAACGTTTCACAGTTAGCTCCATTGCGAGGATTGCATCATTTATGATAAAGGGTTGATTTACCTGAAGAGTACAAGTTATCAGGGGAAGATAAGACCCTCGTAATCGTAGAAAATTGCTGGTCTTGAGCCATTTTATTAACGAATGGAAGAAGTTGTCAGCGACTACAGTATAAAAAGCGATATTAAAAGATCAGTTATAGTGGTAAAAATATTTCACTTTTAAATGGTATTATTGTATAGCATAAAGAAAATAATCCCAAAAAGAGCGTTATTAACTTACTTGTTTCATTTGGAAGAACATTTGATATGATGTCAATGCTTGCACATAATGCCTTTAAATGAAGTGATAACTTCGTAACCCCTGAAGATATAAACCTTTTCGCAATAAATGAATTACGCGTGCTTGGCGTATGGGCAATGCTACTTGAGTAGATCGTCTTTGCAAAATTAAAAATATCTTCTAATGTTTCATTTGGTATATCTACATGTTTGAGAAGAAAATTAAATAATTTTAATTCCAGTAATATGTTCTTCATATCAAGTAATTTGAATGAGGTAGGAGAAAACGTATGTACTTGAAAACGTGATAACCATGTCACGTATTAATGTTATAGAGGATAGGCACAGACATTCGCTGAAAGATTTGTAAAATATATTCTGGAACGATGATTCCTGATCATAAGAAATGTTGATGTAAGCAGTTATGAGAAGTGCTCAATAATACTCAAGAAGACATGTAAATTCCATACAAATTGTTTTTAGGCAATTTGCTTGGTCACTTACGCCACTTCCAGTTTTCTGGATATGTCGATATAAAATTTGATCAACTTGTTTCAAAATTTTATTTTCTGATATAGTTTTCACCTATTTACGGAGATTGAATTATGATTAAAGTAAAGCAAAGGATTAAATAATTTTTAGGGTTAAAAAATATCAGAAATTTGGAAAAACTCCCAAAAAAGCCGGTAACTATTTCATCATCTTACGAAAGTAAAGATCGATTTGTATTGGGCTAAGGACAAGGTCAAAAAATAACGCAAAATTTTTTCATTTTGACGCCCGTTTTTATCACTTAAACACGAAATATGTAGATTGGCTGTCGGAAGAAATTTCTTGCCATCCAAAATAGCCGCATTACGATCTTTAGTAGTGGCAGAATAATTTTCGTTTTTGTAACAAAATTGTCCTAATATCGAGCGATTTCTTGCTCCACTGAATCGTCCAAAAGACTGCAACATACCCAAAACTAAAGGCACAATGACTTTGCAAAATTCTTCCTCTATATAACGTATGAAATTTTTTAGAGTAGCATATATAACAAAGTAAAACGTCATTTTAATTAAAGGAATGCAGCTTAAATTTTAAATTTAAATCACTGAATCTGCTATCCTATATTATCGAGTACGAATTTTCTAATGTCAATAAATTATCGGAATCCATGCGCATGTTGTTATAAGTTTAAGTCAGTTTATAGCACGTAACTGTACAATACCTGGTATAGCAAGATCGTCTAAATTTGAACATAGTTTGGTAAATTTTTCCAAATAGCGAAACTGTAGAGAAAGAATCTGCAAACAATATAGGGCTTAGGTCAATTAATAAACAGTAACATAGTAAGAGTTTTAACAATATATATGTACGCAGTCGATAAAATACAAAAAAAAGTATACCATTACAAATTTATGTTATGTACCTCGTCTTTCCAACCAGGGTCTAAGGCTAAGATATCTGATAGAATTGATGTCAAGCAAAAACCAAACAGTTCTGGTATAGGTATATCTAGTTCAACAAAGATATAATCATAGTTGTGAAAAGAGTTCAACGTAATTAACTTCAGAAATGGTTAGAAAATAGAAATTTAATATTATTTACAATACCGTATTTATTAAAAAATGATGGGTCATCAATCCATTTGATATTTTCAGCATTTCGGAATAATTCAATCAGGTACGGTATAAGCTTTTGGCCATGCTAATAAGGTTAGATAAAAAGATCATGCTACCATTATTATAAATCTACAGTAGCACAATAACAGGGCATAAGTAGCTAAAGCATCTTTATACCAGTATACTTTTAGTATACAAATATTGAATCAGTTCCGTTTTTTTATAGATAGAACAAACGAATGTCTTCCATATCGATTATAAATGCGATAAAACTACTTTGGCGTAATCGAATGTGTATTTTGTTTACCATAATCAATCTTTTTTGATAGTATGCGATATCATTTTATAATCATCATACTATCCGTAATATGATGATAGCAATGAGATATCCAATACGCAACCGACACATGGGCGTAATCTCATTTTATGTCTAGTAGAATCTAAAGATATTTAAAATTAAAATGATATCTCGTATCTACGAAATGACATTTGTAAAAGTACCGCATGATGAACGAATTATAAGTCCGTAAGATGGATATTTATGCAATTCACGATAAGAATTTCTTTCTCTGCATTGATTAACTGAGTTGACAAATATTAGAAAGCCGAAAATTACGAATTTAGCCCTCTTAATGGGCTAGACCTGTCTATTTGATAGCCAATATCATAGAGAGATATCGGTGCTATTTATTACTGATAAGCTATTTACTCTTATAACTAGCTCAGTTAAGTAACAGAATCGGTAATTTACTTTGTCAATCCTACTTGTCCAGCACGGTACTTTGATTACTTTATAAGATTAGTAGCCAAATACGCGTATATTTTATCATTCTTAATCTCATGACCATCTTTTGATACAATTGAAAATTAAGCATGATACCTTCATTAACAACAGAAAGATAGTCGTTCCTGCTGTTTCTAACAATACTGCAATATAGGAGCGTTATCAAAAAATAACCTCATGAACAATAACCGATTATTAAAACATTTTAACTTTATGCTACGCAAAAGTGATATTGAGGGGAAATTGGCAGTATAGCATCGCAATATCGTCATGATGTTGATTCAATATTCATTGATGATATTAAGTCCTAACGTAGATGAGCAAAAATTACAGTCAATTCTTCCATATCCTAGAGCCACTTACTTGTAGCTTGGATTCAGTTAAGAATAATCCGATTGCCACAACTCCTTCCAGCTGGCGGTGATCGATCGAATATGTTCCATTGGCATGGCTGTGAGGACAACGCTGGAGTAATCGTTGAACCTGTTCAGTTATGAAAAAATGAGATGAATTTCTTTCAAAAACATCATCATCAAGGCATTCTATTCGTTTGAGATAAAGATTGAGACGGAGACGAAAAAGCGGATAATTATTGTGATATCAATTTCAAATTTCAACAGGAACTGCAGTAGAATAGGTTAGATCCGCATTGCTAAGAATGAATGATAATATCTATGATGAAACAATTTCATAAGAATAATGGACTATTTACGCCGATAGAGGTTTCTATTACTTTCCATGAGGTAGTTTTTACTTTCATGCTGATTATACCGATGATATTGGAATTACTGGCAAAACAAATTAGCCATTTATCCAGGCTCAATTCAATCTTAAATTTGGCGTATGATTAATAAGGCACACATTTAATTGCGTGTAATCATGCTCAAGGTTGGATGCAACTACATTGCATAGCATGTGTCATCGTATCAGTACTGCTCTTGACGTCTAAACAGAATATCATTTGATATGATTATCTAGGTGAATCAGAATAATCTTGTTTTTTTTATCGAGTATCTTATAAGCTTTCTACGTCGTATCAATCAATCTGTAACAATAGCATTCCTCTCAACAAAATTGGCTATGTAAAATTGCAAAACGAGCGATCCGAAATAACTTGCCACTACAGTAATTGGACTGTTCCAAAAGCTGATGATCATGACATCAATCCCTATTAACTCTCACCTAGTCATGATTTAATTCAACAATCACGTTATCAAAATGATAAAATCAATTCTTTATTTGGACTTCTATAAGACAACTAAGCATCCATTGGAATTTGCCTACCAGTAGTCTGCAGATATGTTACTGATTTCACGATGTACGATAACTTACTTTATCCCATGGAGCAGGATTGAGTGCAGCCAATGAACGTGCTAAATCTTTATATAAAAACATGGCTATCCACTATTTCCATTCAAGCTGTCTTAAATTTTAAATTTTAAACAGTTTGGACACTATAAGAAAGAAGGAAATCAATTTATGGACTAGGTAATTATTTCAACTACTTTTATTTATTTATTAATCATGACAATCGTCTCCTGGTGTTTTTCTACTTATTCGTGAGGATCGTATAGTAGACAAATTTACGGTAACCTAGCAATGGAATCAGCCGTCAGTGATGTTATCCACTATCCGGCATTTTTCCCATTCTATGAATCCTCAATGAATACATTGAATTGCAGACTTACTATGGTCAACAAGGGAATTTCCACTACTTTACTTGCAGGAAATGAATCGACCAAGCGTAGGTAAATCCGTTAATGGATGTCACTAATGGAATAGAGGGAGAATTTCAACTGAATTCTGAAATAGATTGTCCACTTTGGGCAGCCTTTCTGGCTTTGGTCTCTTGATCCGTCTTGGAGTTGGCCAACTGGAACTACAGTCGCGCCAGGGTTGTGTCTAGTTGAGGGTCTACTGCTCACTGCTACCGTCATACAGTACTATAGACTACTCAATCTTACCTTAGTAAGATTGAGTAAGGTATTGCAGTCGATGGTAATGTCGAGTGATCGCTTTGATATGGTACAGTACTAAACACTGTACAGTACAGTGTCAACTTTGCGGTACTGTACCGGTACCAATAGACAGCACCGACGGGCAGGCAGGGCAGGGCAGGGAACAGGGACAATATGGACATGGACCACTGGATGGAGCACTCTCCTCGGATGGACGGACTTTGATGGCAGATATGGTCGAAAAATAGCTACTCAGTATGGATCTTCTGTGTCTATTTTCGAAATCACTCGTATTCATTTAAATAACATTCATGATCTACAGTGACTGCTTCCAAGCAGAGCTTAGTATCAGGCAAAGGAATACAATGTAATCTTACTTAATTTAGAAAAAATTAGTCCATTCAGAATTGACCGTTCTGCATACTAAAGTAGTGTCATAGTGAAGTGTTTGGCACAATTGATGAATCAAAGTAGGCCAAATGTCTGTCCGTCCAGAGGAGTGTCCAGTCCAGGTAGATTGTAGATTTTCTAGTACTTGTAGTCCATGGCGAGGCAGTGACTTTCAACTACAGTACTGTACACTGTACACTGTACAGTACAAGGTACACTACTATGCTGTACTGTACTGTACAGAGCGAGATCTTTTTCGTTCCAGATTATTAATTAAGTACTGTAAATGCTTTAATATTGATCAAATCATGTAAAAAAAGTAATTCAAACGATAGTGTATTAGTTGAAGATTTCGAATCCGTAGTTAAATTTCTGTACGATACAGTACTGTGCTCTTTTCGCCACTTGTCACGGTCAATGTACTGTACAGTACAGTAAGGATTCGGACATTCTATAGAATGCAATCTATAGAATGTACTGTAGATTGTAGACACTTGTACAGTACAGTACAGTACAGTACAGTACAGTATGTACAGTACGTAGAAATGTAAGTAGAAATGTACTGTAGATTGTACAGTATAAGCAGAAATAGACATTCCTATTTCTGCTTCGCGGCGGCCTCACTCTAAAGTCAAAACGATGTCGGTAGACGATAGAAGTAAACCTTGATTAGGTCGCAATGATGCTACAGCGTTTAGTGCTTTATTTCATAGTATTAGCACACTTTCAATACATAGTACTACTAGAATGGACGAAATGATATTATGGCAATGCTGTAGGAGGATGTGTAGAAAACCAAACAATATATACTGCAACTTCAAGGAGTTGATCATCCATCAAGTATGGATGATCCTCGTCGCAAAGTAGACTCGAGAGCCGATCTTCTACTCCTTTTTTCTTAAGAGAGCATGCCACTGCTTAGTGCTATAGTGTTGAATCCCACATCAGATGGAAATCGACGATGGACAGAGGGTGTCGTTATTATCATGAGATGGACTGTCCATTGCCACTTGAATTGATGCATTATAACTATAGAATTTCATGCAATTGAACATTAATCTCGTCAATTAGAGCGTCTGTCGATACTCAATTGACCTCCATGGACTACTTTAGCTATGGTTCAAAAGTTTTCATACTCTAGTACTATCATACACATTATAGCCTACCTTAGTAATTTCCAACTTTCAAGAACAGTAACCGACATATACTGACTGTACAAGTGTATATTGCATTATTGATAATTTGGCACTAATGCAGTACACAGATTGCAGGATCGACTCGTCAATCTCTCTTACACTTGCTGAAATGCTACTAATAGTATGCCCTTCAGAAAGCTGGTAAGTAGTGGAACAATCTTTGAAACATCGACAGGAATAGTCGTAACCTACCGATGTAATGATCTAATGATAACAAAAGAGTTTACTTGCCTAACTACTATTCAGTCTTGTATAAATATTTGCCTACGAAGGTATTCTCTCTTTTTAAGACTGTTGTCAAACGTCAGCGACGTATGCATACAGTGCTGTACAGTGTACACATATTCAGAAAGTAAAACTTTATTCAATCCTTAATGTATCAACTATAGATACTGTAGGCATTAATGCATCAGATAGCTGCTCTCGATTTACATTTACTTTTCAATCTTTTTCTGCATACCTTAGAATTACGTTATGAAATTACATGACTGCATGTCCGTGCAATTATTCCTAGTAATTACTTTGACATACGTATTTACTCTATTAAACGATTTTAAAAGATGCAATTTTCCATCATCCCATCGAATCTATATACGCAATCACTACTTTCTGTCAACTTTTGCTCGTGGTTATCACTCAATGGGTTACTCGCATTACTACAATTTGTTGCATGAATTCGAGAGATGGATACCTGTATCTGGAAATGATCCCAAATCTTAATCATTGAATTCAATCTGCTACCATATCACCTAGTAATATAAATCAACACTGGTTATGTTACATTATTGGTTATTGGTTTTTACTATAATTTATTGAAAGAGTTCGAGAGATGGATACCAGTCTCTAGAAATAACCCAACTCTTAATTACTGAATTCAGTCTGCTACCAAATCGGATAGTAATATAAATCAACACTTATTGTAAGATTGAAACTCTGTTTTGGTAACATAATCAATGTTTAATCGTGTCGTGCAAAATTTATATCATCTTTTCTCGTCGTTATGGCAGAGTACAGTGACCAACATCATATACGGTCCTAGGGAAATGATCGAGTGTGAAATTGTAGCAAAGCTATGACAGAAATACAGTACAGTACAGTCCAAGAAACATTGAAAAGCCAACTTATGGATAAATAACTCACTTTCAGTAAGCCCGCTAGTTACCCTGACTGTAAAAAGTCAAGATGAAATTAAACGTGTCGTTCAGTACAGTAATTACTCATAAAAGTTAAATAATGATTGAGGTCTTTGCGAAATCATTTCATGTAATTTAGCAAACTTTCTTATATGGCCCTTACAGCGAAATGCCGAGACCAAATGATCTATTCTAGATAAAAATGACAACTTTACTAATTCGGTATTAAGGTATGCTAGGTGTTATAGAGGTATATAGCAGATTTCGTAATTTCAATATATTAATATATGTGACGATTAATAACATTGATCATGAAGAAAAAAAATGATCAGCTGTCTTGTGTATTTTGTTTATACCCAAGTGACTGACGAGAGAGTCTTTTTCGCCACTGCCAACCTAGAAATACAAGTCATAACATGATTTTAAAGTGCTTCAAATGAAAATAGATGATACTATTATAGCTAATCAAAGAAGCTTTCTAGCATCCACACGGATACAGCGATATCTAGATTAAAGTAAGCGAGTATGAGAATGTCGATCGTAACGCTATCATTTGAAATGGTGAAAAGAAAGTAAGTTAATCAAAGGCAGATGGACTTCATATGCTTTAAACTAACGTCTCTGCCATGATAAGCTAATCATACTAGCGGAGTAAGTACTAGATTAACTCCTCAAAGGACATGCTATAAGGTGTCAAGAGTTACTGTCCTGTCATAACTAAAAAGAATTATTTTCACCAAGTTCAAGAAGTACTAGATACAAAAATATCAATTGAAATGACATGGTATAAAATTCAAAAGTTACTGCCATGATGACAGTCATAATTGTATAATTATCATAGATTCAACTAAATATTTACAGATTCGTAAATGATACTAGGATAGTGCTTGGCTAAGATAAGCTTTATCCTAAGGTGTCCGAAATTATGTATCATTAAAGTCAGCAGGTAAGAGATAATTCATAGCACATAGTAATAACTCACAAACGATAGCAGTTGATTACAACTAACATAACAGCGATCAACACCTCTAACATACTTACAGAATAAAATTTTAAAATGAAGCATTACCACCAGTTCAATTAAGCTATATGCCAGAGCAAGGATTTGCATTATAATTAGAAATGCTATTTCTGTCAAAAACGCACCAACAATAGCTAATAGCGATGAAAAGGCTATGAAAATAGGGACAGTGATGGTAAAGCAACAACGGTCAATGACTGCTTGAATCCGATTCAATTTGTGGGAAAAATTAGTCATTGACTCATCTGTTTGATAACCATTTTTAGAAATTGCCGTGAAGTTAGTAGATTCGATTGCTTTATCTTCAGATACATGAATGAAAGAAAAAAATTGTATCAGTAGTAAAACAAATTAAGCCAATTAGAAACTCAGAGATAGGAGAAGTTATTAATTATAGCTTATATGTAGTTTTAAAATTGGTCTTGTAATCTTTTAAAATGTAAACGGATGGCTAATGCAAAATTATTTTGTAGTCTTACTCGTTCGATAATCTTACCTTGATTATTTTGCTGTTTCGCTCGCGGTGTGTAGCGGTGCATATTTACAGATGGGATACCCTTTCCTTGTGGCAAAGATGTACTAATAACAGGTAAAAAGATCGAGATTAATTGACTTTCTAATATCAGTAGTGAATTTGACATCTAAAAGTGGCCAAAAGTATGGCAGTCTATATTATTTTATACGCTGAAAACAGTTA